CACATCTAGATGTGTATAAGAGACAGCCTCTGTACTGTGTACACAGACCTAAAACGGCCTGACCCCAGTCCAGTTCGACAGAGAAGGAACAGTGCTCAAGAGAATTCAAGAGAGTTCAAGAGGAACAGTGTTCAAGAGAATTCAAGAGAGTTCAAGAGAATTAAACATCTAGAAAAACTTGGGTAATTGCTGGCCTATTGCTAAACTGAATGCTCAGAACCCCTGGGCCGAGGTGCCACTAGCAAAGAGGATAGGAAAAAGCTCCTGAATCTGGATGTGTTTTATGGAGAGGTGCAGAAAAGCAGTTCAATCTCGATTTCCTGCACCTCTCCCAGATTCAGGCATTCGATCCTATCCTCTTTGCTAGTGGGACCACGCCCCTGGACTCCTTAACAAAACCTCTAAAAATCTCCTACACTGTCTTATTCCCTGCTGAGCTATCACGCAGGGGCCATTTGCTAATTACCCTTCTGTGTATCGTTCCAATTTTGACGGATGCCCCGAAGGACCCGGTCCTTGCTTTTTTTGGATGCCCCGGGATGGAGATCCACTGGTAGCCCCCGAATAGAACGCACAGTCATTCTGGGCTGAGGTCCCACTACGGTAGCAAAGAGGATTGGATTGAACTCCCGAATCTGGACGTGTTTCATGCAGAGATGCAGAAAAGCAGCTCAAGCTCGGTATTCTGCACCTGTGCACCAACGCGTCCAGATTCGAGCGTTCAAGTCTCGGTACATTGATAATGATTCTTTTTTTTTTTTTTTTAATAATGATTCTAGATTCTATTGGGGCGAAGACTGTAGCGTCGTTCTGGACCGTAGATTACAAGGATCGAGGATCAGTGGCCAGAAACAGATAGCCCCCGGGACGAGGTCCCACTGGGGAACCTGGATGTGTTTCATGCAGAGATGCAGAAAAGCAGATCAATCCACTGGTGAATCTGGACGTGTTTCACGCAGAGATGCAGAAAAGCAGATCAATCCCGATTTTTCTTGCACCAGATATCCTCTTTGCTAGTGGGAGTCTGTGGGACCACCACCTGGGAAGTGGGACCTCTCCCGAAACTGACGTCCTCCTCTAAGTAAAAGAACAGCCAAATGCTTTTCCCAATAAATAAATCAATAAGTCAATAAAAAAATATTAACAATAAATAAGCACAGACAGATCAGATATAAGGATTCGAGAAAAAAAATAAACAATAAAAAATTATGCAAGGTTTGGGCATGGCTGACAGAGCGAAGTCTCCTCCTGCTCCTCCTCCTCCTCCTGCTCCTCCTCCTCTTCTCCCCCCCCCCCGAATCCTCCTCTTCTCCGCCTGCTCCGTTCTGGTCCTCCACCTTGTACCCGGATCCTGCTGAGATTGTGGATCCCATCCAGCACACACACACACACACACACACACACACACACACACACACACACACACACACACACACGCACTCTTGTCAGGGGTTTGGACCAGGTTCAGACGTGCAAGGATTGCAAGGTTGGTGTTGTGAGTAAAGTCGACCACTTTTCTCTCTCAGGGATGGGTGTCGCTAACTCTGGCCGATGTGGTGAGTCCTTATCCATCAGTCAAATGCATCCTGGGCAGACTCTGTCCAGGTTCAACCTCCTGATGAGTCAGTCAAAGTCCGACGAAACAGTCTGTCCGGCACAGTCATGCTTTTTTTGAGTGTATTAGCGAATATGACAACACACACACACACACACACACACACACACACACASAGAGAGAGAGAGAGAGAGAGAGAGAGAGAGAGAGAGAGAGAGAGAGAGAGAGAGAGAGAGAGAGAGAGAGATGGGGACCTGGAATGCTGGTCAAGGATGACAGCACACAGCACACAGCACACACCATAAACTCACACTGTACATGACGTACTCCGACACTCACAAATGCTGAATGAAACAACACAGGCTGCCGTCAGGGCCTTGACTGGCCATTTAGCCAGTAAAGCTAGGTTTTGTTGTCTGGGATCCAAAATCCCTAATCCCCCTTGGTGCCTGGGAAAGGTAATTGTATCCCAGGCCACCTTGGACATATATCCTTCTTGTTCCTGCGCTTCCAGCTTCCAAACAAAATGTCCTGCCGCCTTCTTGATTTGCCCGTATGCCTTGCCACCGAGACGATGAACTGCTAGCGTAAACCACAGAACCGATCCTGCTGCTGTTGATAAGACCAAGGCTCATCCCAGTAATGATAGATGCCTTGTCTGCTTCCAACTTGCTACCCGATTACAAGACTTTTCTACCAAAATGGCATCTTGAAACTCTGAGTTGTCAGTCAAGGACACTTGCACTCCCAGAAAGCGTTCGGAAGCGTCGGCAGACACAGTCTTTAATCCCCAATTGAATTTCAGGCTATAAGAAGGTGGCAAAAAATAGGTTGACTTATTCCAATTAATAGCGGCCTCTGATACCTCACAGTAGGTATTTAATACTGTTCTTAGGTTTCTAAAGTTCTCTCTGTTGTTTTGACAGGCAATAGTTAGGTCATCCGCCAGGGCTCCCCCTTTCCATTGTATGCAGTTTTTCAGTTTCAAGCCCACGATTTCATTGTTAAACCGAATATTATCCAATAGGATTTCCAAGTGCACAACAAAAAGGAGAGGGGCCAAGGGGCAGCCTTGCCTGAGAGATCTAGTAAGAGAAAATTCCTCTGATTGTTGACCGTTGACCATAACTGTAGCTGTTGCGTCAGAGTACATTATGTTGACCCACCGGCAAAAGGGCTGACCAAAACCCATACGTTTCAGGGTGGCCATCACAAAAGCCCAACCAACGCGATCGTAAGCCTTCTCCATATCCAGGAGGAGAATTGCTACGTCGAGATTATCATTCGTGATGATTTCCAGGGCTTGAATGGTTGTTACAATATTGTCAGTTGTGCTTCTGTGCTTTACGAAGGCCCCTTATTCTTTGCCAGTAAGGTCTGGCAGGTATTTTGCTAGCCGTCGGGCCAAGGCTTTTGCTAGCAGTTTATATGAGGCGTTTAGGAGTGATATAGGTCGCCAATTTCGGATTTCTTTTCTGTCTCCTTTTTTATACAATAAAGAAATTACCCCTTTTGTCATGCTTTTGTTCAATTTGCCCCCTGTGAGAATTTTATTAAATATACTTAATAGCATCGGACCCAGTTGAGGCCATAAAGCCAAATAAACCTTAATCGGAAGGCCATCTTCCCTCGGACTTGCCTTTGGCCATTCTATTGGCTGCTGTTGATAACTCCTCTAATGTCAGTGGTTTATCCAGATCCAGACGTGCCCTCAAGGAGATCCTTTTTTGAGAACGGTTCCAAAAAGTACTCGTTGTTCTCAAGTCAGAGTGCATGTCATCATACGGTCGACGAGTTGTTAAGATGTCTTCGAAATACAATTTGGCAAACTCACACATCTGGTGCAGGTCGTTAGAAACTATCAATTGAGTAGAGAACGGATGCGATAGTACCTTCATTGGTGATTGTGCTTTCTGTAGTATCAACCGTCGGAAGGTTTCTTTCGTTAATCTGTCTCCTGTGTTGATGTTTTTCTGACTCAACCATTCCATCCACTGTTCTTGTTCTTGAATATGCATTGATTCCAACTTGGTTAACAACCTTTTCCGTGTCATTGTCAAATATGCATCTGAGACCTCATCTTGACCCAGACTATCCTCAACACGTCTGATTCTCTGAATGATACTTTTCTCGTCCCTTCTTCGGTTTTGAGCTCTGATCTGTGAGAAGATGTTGAAAGCTCGTTGCAGAATGTGAATTCCCACCTCAACCCAATCATTCTCCTCAGAAAACAGTTCCCTCGCTCCCTGCCAGACTTCAAGTTGGTTCTGAGACCAATGAATGATGCCTGGGTCTTTAAGAAGAGACACATTCAGTCTGTAGTAGCTCGGGCCCCGTTTGGGGGCTCCGCTGATTTGAACGTCCCCCACAACAGGCCTGTGATCCGAGAGGTCTGAGAAATATATATCTACATCCGTGCATTCCTGCCAAGGCAGGCCTTTCATCAAGAGGTAATCTAATCTTCTTCGGGCTGGTGGGGTTTGTGAACCAAACCAGGTGTAGGCTTGAGTGGTTGGGTGAAGCGTTCGATATGCATCAATCAAGTTTTGTGAAATTATAAAGCTGTGCAGCGGTCTGTTGTCTAGTCTGATCGGGCCCGCCTTAGGGCTGTCTAGTCCCGGGTTTAAAGTAGTGTTCCAGTCTGCTGCAAAAACGATATTTTCGGAGTCCGGTATTAAGCCCGGTAGCTCTGGTAAGAACACCAGTCTTTCATTATAATCCGTCAGTACATAAATTGACATGACAGTCCATTCTCG